TAGTCAGTGGAATGCCTAAGTTTGCCACAACACCCTAAGCTGGCTGGAGGAGAAACAGCCAATAAGCAGTCAGGTGCTCACTGTACAACTACTTAGGTCTGAGGAAATGAGGCACTTGTCTTAGTTGGGTCTTTCTTTTTCCTTTGTGTTTTCCCAAGAGGCAACATGAAATGACAAAAGAAACATCAGACAAGGAGCCCAGCTACTTTAATCCTAGATTTGTCTAGACCCTAACTTGTGAAATAATGTAGCCCTGCTGCTATAGTTATCTGAGGTAAATTACTTCACTTTTCTGAGCCTCAGTTTTCTCCTCTGTAAAATGGGGATAATATCTTCCACAATGTTTTGTTGAGGTGATTAAATATGATAATGTATGCAAAGGACTTGACCCACAGAACATGTTTAACAAATGATTACAGTGATATTGCTAATGGTTTTGATACTTGGAATTATCACTGTCCCTCAGCTTCCATATTTATTACACGGAGGAAGGGGTTGAACCAGGTTTCTAATTTTCAGCCCTGACTTTCTAGATTCCTATATCAGATCCAGTTCCAAGTCCTTGTTCCTCTGTTCCCAATAATCCACCGAGGGCCTGGGTTCTATGAAGCCCTGGATGTTCTATGTTGTAATGGACCAGGAGAAGGAAACAGTCCACCTTCCCATGGAGATTCAAGGATGAGAGCATGATTCTAGTGTCACAGACACTATCCACTACCTCCTTTCAACACACATACTATTAACTGGAGGAGAATGGGGAAAAAAGATTTTATTTTATTTTTTAACTTTCTCTTCTTATATAAATCTAATTCCATATGCTCTCCAAGGGCAGGATGAAATTCAGGGCAGAACCGTCTTTAGAAAGCTGATGGCACTACATGTGAAACTCTCAGGTAATTCAGAGTCGAGGAAAGGAAGTTGGATCAGGCAGCAGGTCAGGGGGTCCTCTTCTAGGCTCTAGCACTGACTTGCTGTGCAGCCTTAGAAAAACCACTTAACTTCTCTGGGTCTATTTCTGCCTCTAAAGTAGGAAGCAACTGGACCAGCTGATTCCTAAAATTCCTTCTGGCTCTTGTATTCAGCTATCTTTCTGTTACTGACTTCTAGTTTAATTCCACTGTGTGTTCGATGGCAGACACTGCATGATTTCTATTCTTTTAAATCTGTACAGGAATGTTTTATGGCCCAGATTTCATCATTTATCCTGGTGAAGGTTCCATGTTATGGCTCTTGAATTTGATGATTCTAAATGTTGAGAATCACACCAGGTATGATGGTATTGCCTAGAATTTGACACTGACTCAGCATTATTTTGTTGTAAAATAGTATAAGTGGAGAGAAAAAGACTAAAGGATGTTAAGGAGTAGGACCTAACAGCTCCCTCCTGCACTGATGTCCCTGAAGCCATGGGTAACAACTCGATAATCTCTCTGCTTCCATCATTTGCTCAGACTCCTCCAGAGCGCTCAGCTTTCACCAGGGTCCTCTGCAGGCCTTCCCCCTGCTGGGCTCAAATTTCATGCATTCTGAACATAGGGAAATGTCATCCCTGCCTACCCTGCATATACAGTTTTCTTTGATAGAGTCCAGCAAGGGGGAAAGCCAGCAGGCCCTGTGTGCCAGTCCCTCTGGTCTTCACCTGCAGTGATTCTGGTCCACGTTCCAGAATTCTGGAGCCAAACTGAATTCAGCCTGAGCCAAGAGTAACTTGGGGGTGACTGGAGGGTCAGCATGGACTGCTGAGGGGAAAAGATAAACCAAGTATCCTCTCTACTAAATAAAAGATTTAAAGAAACAGAACAAAATGTTTTAGATTCTTTCTCTGCCTGGCCTAGCAGTTTATAAAGATCTCACCAAGGAATACTGGATGTAGAGTTGGGAGAACCTGACCCCCATCTCTGCTTCTGTACTCCCCTAACCTCACTCTGTCTATGAGCTAAGCAGTTTGAGGTTCACCAAAGAAAATCTAGAAATATCTATTTACTGATCATTCCAATTAAACACAGGCCAAATAGAGAAAGACTTTCAAAATGAATCTTTTTTCCTATTTAGGCTAACTTTTTCTTCCAGCATATATGGATAACTGATTCATCAATACTCAGGCTTCACCACTAGTCAAAGACACAGTATTAACACTTATTGACAGCTAATGTCTAATGCAGATTCCTCCAAAGAGAATGAGGTTCTAGAGCTGCAAACAATGGATGCTATTTAAACTAAAGGGAGTCTACATGTTTTAAATGGCAGTAACACGGCTGTACAGGTCAGACTTCAGCCACAATCTAGGCTGAAAATAAATCGTTTGGGAATTATGTGAGACCCTTGGTGAACACCAGCCCTAAAATTTAGCAGTGTGATGTTTTCATAGCAGAGTAGAATCTGCCATTTATCTCACTGTCAATCCCACTAACTATGTGAAATATCCTAAGAACATTTTACCTCCTCTTAGAATGTTACTTTTCCCTGAGCCCTTATATTTCTTTATATTTTAGATATTATCATTCCATGAGCTAAACTATATATACATATTCATAGGTTCTTACACTTTAAAAAGTGACACTTAAAAAAAATTGGCAATGAGTACATCTTGCCCCCAATTTCTGCTTTTCTGATCTAATTGCCTCCCCCTACTTAAAAAAAAAAAAAAAACAAACAAACAAAAAACCAAAAAAACCTCATCTCCCTGCCAATGGCACCACTACCGTTAAACATTTGTTTACTTTCTCCTTCACTGGCCTGTAAGCCCCATAAGGGCAGGTGCTTTGTTGTGTTCAATAATGTGTCCACTGTTCTGGAAGAATTGTTAAATCAATCGATTACCTTCTGTTAAATTTATCTCTATTGCTCATTCCTTCTCAGCCCCAAGAAAGCTGGGAAATAGGAGATTTGAGGTAAAACTGAATTGTTCTTATGAGACTACATTGGTGGTTCTCAAACCTCAGTGTGCCAAAAATTCATCCAAGGCCTTCTGTAAAATACAGATTCCTACAACATGGGGAGTATAGCCAATATTAATGGAGTCTAGCCTTTAAAAATTATAAAGCACTATATTGTACACCTGTAAATTATATAATATTGTTTAACTTACTTCAATAAAAAATTTAAAGTAAATTAGCAATGATAATTAATAAAAATTCCAAACCCTTTGAAAACTGAAATAAATAGATTCCCACCTGCTTCCCCCCTTCCCCCCAATTCTGAGTCAGTGGGTCTGCGTGTGGCCAGGGAATCTGCATTTTAAGCAAACACATTGGCTTCTTCTGATAGAGGCAGTCTGGGCACCACACTTTGGGCAATGCAGACCTGTACCCAGAGTGGAACTGTAGCAGGTCCAGTGGTCAGAGTGTCAGGGAATGAGAAGGCTGAATCCTGGCAGTGCATTTAGTCCAATCTCCTCACCATTCAGATAAGGAAACTGAGGCCCACAGAGGGGCAGGAACTGGCCTGAAATCTGGTGAACTGGCAGCAGTCTGAGAGGGTCTTCTGAGTAGCTTCATGAAAGCATTCCCTTTGCAGAGTCTTCATGCTGTTTACTCTGCAGGTCTAACATGTGTCAGCCAAGTTGTTTCCTAGGCTGTCTTGTTAACATATTTAAATGCTACTTGCTGGTGCCTGGTTTTATTTGCACAGTATCTCTTGTCTTTGGAGTCTGTTACTATACTAAGTGACACCAATTACCAGAAAACATCCTAGTTTGCTGGAAAATACTTGAAATGACCAACTAATGAGGATGTGAAGTATATTTTCTCATTAGTAATTATGTAGGCTCTGAAGCCAAGCCCAGTGTCTATATATACTTGTATTGCTAAATTAAAAGCAACTGTGGGGTAGAGAATAGCAACACTTCCAGGAGAAACAAATCAAATGTGACATGTTTTGACTGCAGTGATATATGATGATATGAGCTCACTTTTGAAGGAGAGAAGTTTGGCCCAAAGGAAAAGAGGAGGTCCCAGAGCCAGGAACGCCTCACAGAGCGAGGAGCTCTCGTTCTGGCCTCTAAAACATCCTTCCCCCTGTGACTTGGAACAACTCCTTCACCTCCCTTTCCCACTTACTACCTTAAAGGCATATAGGCTGGTACAAGGAGATTAGAACATACCTATCTGGCAAACATTTTCTCATTTCTCTTATTTATCTAAGTCACTGGGGAAAGGCAGCATCTTTAATCAACTGTTTTGGTTAACTGTCTGATTCAAACCTGACAGGGAAAATTCTTATTTACAATATAATAAATTATGGGTAACACTAAAATGTTAACATTAGTTACCCTGAAGAATGGGTTAGGCAGGAATAAATGAAGAAGAGACTTTCATTTTTCATTTTGTTCATTTCTAAATGATTTGCCCTTTTTTCAAAACCAATGGGTATATATTGCTATTATTGTAATTTAAAAAATCTAATAAAGCTTCTATTTTTAAAAAACTGGTAAATTGCTTCTAAATGGCAGCATGGTGATATACTGCCTTGAATGATGAGATTTGGGTCTAATCCTAGCTCTGTCACTGACCTTAGGGAAGCCACTTAACCTTTTTAAGCCTTTATTTACTCCTCTGAAAATATGGGGGTTGGATTAGATGACCTCAAGATCACTTCCAGTTCTATGAATTCATAAATAAAAAACTTTAAGGAGAAGGCAATATGAAAATTGAGTTTCAATGAATGACATTAAAAAAAAGTGAACTGAAACCATAAATTGTATCACATAAACTAGGCTCTAAGTGAACTTACGTAAGAATATATGAGATGGTGCCTAGCTAAAAGTAGGCGCTCAATGAATTTATTTTGCTTCATTTGTTTTATGTTAATTATGTTTTAGAGAACAAAGCTAGTTCAGTCTTGTTAAGTAACAAGTTACCTAGCAACACATATTCTTTTATGTATATGTATATATATTCAAACTTGCATTTAGGGACAGTGAGGTAAACTCTGGAATCATAAACTCTTAGAGTTGGAAGGACCTTAATATTAGCCAAAATAACCTCTCTTCTTGTGAGGAACCCTGTTATGTGTTCCCCTTAGTTACTTCTTGTGTTGGTGAACTCATGCTTCCACAGCAGCTCTTGTAGCCAAGAGAGCTTGTCCTTGTCCTCAGAGTGAGCTGGAAGGGTGCCCCCTCCTCCCCCGCCCCGATCTGCCCTTGGGAGCAACAGTCCTCTTTGCGACAGGGCAGAAGTGTGACCTAATCCTGCCAAACCTTCTCCATTTCTGTCTACTTATTTCCATTTCCTCCAACCATCCCTTGCAAGTTTCAGAAACAGTGTGTCCACAACTGTCTTAAATCCCAACTTGGAACTGAACTCCACGCTTAAAGTGTGCACAGACAGGACAGAGTCCATCGGACCACGACCAACTTGGTTCTGGTCCCATACTTCTACTACTGCAGCCTAAGCTAATTTAGCATCCCTCCCTTCCACCACACAAATACTTTGTTGGTTCTTATTGAGTGTGTATGGAATAGACTCCAGAGATCTTCTTAACGTGAACTACTGACAGGCCAAGGCTCTCCCATTTTTAAAAATTCTAAATGCTGAGCTTCACATTTATTTTTGTTAACTTTCTTCATGATGGTTTCAGCCCATCCTGTTCCAACCTGTCGAAATCACTCTGAATGTTGATACTGACATCCATCATATTAGCGATCCCTCCCAGCTTTCTGTCATCTGCAAATGTGATCAGCATGCCTTCCATGCCTTCATCCAAGTTTTTGATGAAAAATCACTGTATTTTTTAAAAAAGACTTTTAATTTAATTGATTTCCATCCAATTTTTGATAATTTTGTAAAGCTATCTAAAAGCAGGAGAATCCAAGCTATGAGGTTCAACCTGATTCCAAAACAATGCAGTTAAAATAAATACACTTTGCAAAATTGAGCCAGGCCCCAAAGGTAGTATCAGTGTGACCCAGACTCTGGCATGGTCAATCTGCTATTTTGGACAAAGCTAGCAATTAAATTGGATAAATGTTTGTTGATGAGGATGATGACTCTAGTCTAACACACTGAATGGTGCAGAAGCAAGCAAACACAGTGGATTGATTTTTCAGTGTGGAGACAATTCCCAGCTGGGACAACTCAAAGGACTAGGGAGGGATTGCCACTGAATAACTAATTAGACCATGTAGACCAATCATTGGGTAATTTGAGGCCCCCCAAATCACGTTGGGGCCTAAATTCTCTGAGCTGGCCATTGGCAGTAATTTCAAATGGCCTGGAACAACGTCAGATTGCGTGCTGCAGCCTCAGTGTAGGCAGTGCCGAGAAGCTTCATTAACTTAGATGAGTTGCATAAGGGAAAGCCAAAGTTGGTTCATGGAAGTCTTTATTCCCAGATGCATTTCTATCAGTCACTCTCACTAAGACCAGAGAGGCAAGGAAGCTTGGTATTTAAGAGCACAGACTTTGGGGCCCAAAACATTTGGTTTCTAATTCTATCTCTGATACATATTAGCTATGTGACCTTGGGCAAGTCAGTCCTTCAGCCTTTCTCAGTTTTATTAATCTCCTCATCTATGAAATAGAGATCCTAACACTTACCTTAGTGGGATTGCTATGTGGCACCTGACAAGTGTAATGTTCATACTCATCAGAACATTCAACAAATGATGGAATAAGGTTTGGTCAAGGAGATAACATACAGGGCACTCTGCTAGAGCTTTGACAAGTATTATATTTAAACTTCACAAACAACCCCAGGAAATAGATATTATTATTATTATTACTACTCTATAATACAAATGAGGAAACTGAGGTATTAAAAGATTTAATCAGTTGCTCAAGCTAGTACATGGTGGTGGTGGGATTTAATCAAGGCCTGCAAGGTTCCAAAGCCTAAGCCCTTACCACTGCATTATTTTATTAGACTATTATTTGAGACTTGACTTCAGTCAAATGATGCTACTTGTAATCAGAGTAAGAGTCCTCAACCTTTGATGCTAAGGATCTGCCACACTTCTCATATGAAGTCCTGTGCTCAGGCATGGAGAGGAGGCTTCACAGCCTGTAATGAGGGAGGGGGTGAGGGAAGGATGACAGCAGATATACCTGTCACCCCTTCACTTTTGTCAACAATGCAACCTAAAAGGAGGGAACAGAACAGATACATTTACACTCCTGGCCAGCCCTTCAACCAGAAGTTTGAAGTACTGATTGGACCTGGAGAAAGCAATCTGGTAGTAGCTGCCAAGCCAGATCAACCCCCTGGGATCCCAAACTGGTATCTTTCTCATTTGCGTGCAAAGTCTAAGTTTTCTCGTCATGGGGTAACTATCCTTACAGTTCATGGTTCTTTAAATGGTTAGATGAGACAATGTACCACAATGTCTAGCATGTAGAAACTGCTCAATAACCACGATCATCTTCCTTTCTTTTCTTCTTTGGTAAGATCCTGTCTTGCTATAAGTTTGCTTTTCTAAGTCTCTTTAAAAACTGCCTTCCAGTAATGTTTATACATTTGCTCAGAAAACCCTTTCTCATGGTTCTTCTTTGTGATATCCAAATTTCTGGGAATTTGCATAGTTCAAATTGACGATATTTTACTATATCCCATATGAAATAAAAATGTTGATATGTTTTGGTTGACTTAAAATAACAACACTGGTAATCATTTATGGTTTTCAAATGTTTTCTCAACCATCATTCCTGTGTGACTGATGTTCAAAACATCCCTCTGAGATTAAACATTGTAATCATCTCCACTGTAGGGATGAGAAAGCCAAGAGTGGGATCCAGGTGACACAGGCAGGAAGCAGCAGAGGCGGCGTTCCATCCCAGTCCTCCTGACACCTCCTGATATCAAGGCCAGAGTCTGCTCCTCTCCATCAATGGTCTAATCCCTCTGAATAAGCAGCAGGTCAATCAATGCCGATGCTATTGGGTAAACAGTTTAAGGATAACTTGAAGCTTACCCAGATGTTTGGTCATAATGTGAAAAAAAAAACCCCAAAAAACCAGCAGTTGCTTTGTCTCAACCATGAAAGAAATCTACAAATTGCAATTTACCTGTTCAGATTTTCTTTGGCACAACCATCAGGAATCCTGCAACAATGAGTACGACAGGTGCAGCACTGTCAGGGTCATTTGTTAAGGCATTTAGAGATTCAATAAAGCAAAAATTATTTGGTGCAATAGATGCACTAGAAGTACTAAATGAAGTGAAAAATACAGAAAAGGTATGGAAGCTGTTTAGCACAATGCCAGGCACAAAGTCATTCAATCCACTCTTATTACTAGTATTGTGAATAGAAAACCTGATCATTCACAGGACATAATAAAACTTACTCTGGAATAATCAAGATCTCTGGGCGTTGAGTCTGTTAAAGCTCGGACCAGGGCATTCATCATACAGATCGGAGGAGAAGGTGGGGAGGGCTGAGACGGTTCCTGCTGTAATGGGCTCTTTGGTTTGGAAGGCAGCCGACCTCTCCTCCCTTTCAGACTATCTGTACGGACCACTGACACAGAGAGAAAGAAAGAAGATATCCATGAATAGCCATAAATCACAAAAAAAGGAATCAAAACACTTCACAGCTGAGCAAATCATTAATGAGACCAACCATTAAAAAGTGGCAGTAAGTTTGGAATAATATCCACACAATGATTTAATGAGAGTTGAAATAAGCAGCATAAAAGCCACCCCATACTTACATTTGGTAATGAATTAGCCCTAAAAGTCTCTTCATCAAACAGAACAAAGATGTGCATACACAAGCTCTCTATTGATTTTGAGAAATTAGAATAAGTAGTCCTCAGCTATTTTTAAATGTAAATATACACCACAAAAATAAAATGTTGAAAGGAAAGGAAAACCAGGAAAATTCACCATCCCAATATAAATATTAACTTCTTTTCAGTGATAACTGAGAATATTCATAAGCAACCTGGATAAAAAGCATTATATCCATACCTTCTTTAACCATTCCGACACTGAGACACTTCTGAAATCGACAGTACTGACATCGGTTTCGACGTCTCTTGTCTACTGGGCAGTTTTTATTTGCCAGGCAAACATATTTTGCATTTTTCTGCACCGTTCTCTGAGAAAATACAATACAGAGATAGTCAACTAATAGTTTCTGGAAAGAGGTAGGACCTGACAAGATGTATTTTAATTACAACGTGAAAAGCGACAGTGCAATTCGTATAATTAGATAAATTTAATTTCCTAACACGCTAGCCTGCAGGAAAAACAATTTTATTAGTGTTAGCTGCTGACAATGGAAATCATCTTGGATTGTTCTGAAGCAAGTCTCAGGAGACACCCAAGTCTGAATGATAAAATCATATCTGAAATTACCAGGTCAACATATCATACCTTGGAGGATTAGATTATCTCCACTTTTAATATCCCTTTGGGAACAATTTTCTACTTGTTCCACTCCCCTGATTATTGCTGACCTTATTAAAATAAAATAAAAATTATCTAGGATGTACTTTGTTGGCTATCACCACTGTAAGTCAAATATCACAGAAACTGGCTTTGTTCCCCCAATAGAGATGAAATCATAAAGAGCAAAAACCAGGATTTGTCTAGTTATAACATACAGGAAATAATGTTTTAATGCAAAAAAGGTCACTTAATCAGCCTGTGTGCTGTATCTTATTTTTTAAAGAATATATATGGTAAATTGACCATTTCTGATTTTTGAAAGCAAAATCTTAAAATTGGATACTAAAAACCACTATCACATCCAAGAAAGAAAAAAAATCAAATAAACAAAAAGGAATGAAAGAAAGGAAGAACCATACATTTTCAATGAAAATTCCCATTAATAGATTATTTCATAAGTGACTACTGATATCTAGATATCTAGGTATTTAAATAGCCATATAGTAAAAGACACATCATAAAATTTGAGCTTGGGCATAAAATAATGGTGTATTCTTCAGAATCATATAATTTTAAAATGACACATGAATACATAATTAAGGATATTTTATGTTCCAAATATAAGAAAATGCTTGATTTTTTAAAAAATTAAAAACATTTGTGCAAATGGATATGTATTTACCACTTAGGGTGAAATCATTCAGAAATTACCTGAATCTATTCGACTCTAAATAGAGCAGAAGGTTGTAATTTATTTGGTAAGCCTGGGCTGCATAAAAAAAAAGAAATCCAGGTAATTTGGGATCGGTGATCTATTTTGTGCCTAAAGTTCTAGATTTACCTTCTATCTTTTTTAACTTTCAGCAATTCTCAACCCTCTTGTATCAGTTTTCACTCTATCACCTTTTAACTTCATTTTAAAAGATCATTTCTAAACTGCTTATATAAAATTTAAAGCCAGATCCATTTACCCTGCTTTAGCAGGTGATTTTAGTTTAAAATGCAAAATTCCCCAAACACAAACAAGTTTCTAAGTTTCCAGCATTTAAATTCTCAGCAGTCTGTAAGGGTAGGAAACTTGTGTTTCCTGAATGAAGGTCTCTTTCACTGAACATGCAGTAATTTAAAAAACTCTATTTCTTGCCATCATTTTCAAAGCCATATGCCAATTTGAGTGCTGGTGGCATTTTGCTTCAGGTATATATTTTCCCAGTAACCTGAAACCCTCCCCACATTTGTGTGTGTCTGCACAACAGTTTAAGGACAGGGAGAGATCGTTATGGTTCAATCACTGAATTCCCATCATTAACTGCACTTCATGTCACATTTTTAAAGAATTCAATTTAATGGTAGAAAGCCACTGGGTAAAACCTGCTCCCGTTCCCTTAATTAACAGATCTGTGGGGTGGTTCTCCCCCATCTTCCCCCACCCTTTCAAGTATAGATTTGTTTTCAAGGGATTGCTGCAGAAAAAGGATGCTGTTGGGGAACACTTAATTGACATTTCTAGACTAGGAATGTATTACCACTCCTGTATTTTGGCCAACTCTCAATTATTCAGGGGTGATTATATTTGTGGATTACTTGTACTTCTCTTAATTCTTTTTCTTTCTTTTCCCCATTTCTTTTCCTTCTGCCCGTTTCACTGCCCTTCAGCATTTCCACTGAAATGCTGTAAAAATCAAATCTGCTAAAGGTATACGGTTACTTGAAACTAACCCTGGTAAAGCTTGAGTAAAAACAGAAGAAAAAAAAAAGTTACACTGATGGTTCTACATTTAAAACATTATAATCCTGCATACCTCCTGTATGGCACTTAACCTATTGCAGAATCTTTCCACAGGCACTTTCTCATTTATCTGCAGAATTTAATCACATGATTCCTATCTCCAGATCAAAAATAACTGTTGCTTGTTGGTATGTTTACCAATGCACACACATGCATTTTTTTAAATAAATACTTTGTAGTTTGCATTTATAGTGAACTATTGTTATTGTTTTATAGCCCTTTAAAGATTATAAAGTGCTTTCATAAATATTTTACCTTATTTAACACTCACAGCCCTTCTCTAAATTTTATTCACCTGATAGGGAAACTGAGGCCTGGAAGAAAGTGTCATGGCCAACATCATAACATTGGTAGGTGGCAGATGAAGGACTCCTATTTGAGTATTCAGACTCCAATTCCAGCTTGCTCCCAGATACATCCTATTGGCCTACAAATCCCCGTTACCCAATCAGCATCCAGCTTCCCCTCTCCCTCCACCCTGCCTGGTACAGGAGGCTAGGAGGTGATTATTGTGGGAGAACATTGTGGGTTTGCAGATCCCTGGGATAATGGCCAGGGGAGTGGGAAGTGGGGAAGGTGGCACAGAATTAAGTGTCTGAAGAGGTCTGGGAGTCAAGAGCAAAAGTAGAGCAGCAAGAGAACAAGTCCTCTTTCCTCTGAGTGGTGAAAAGAGCACTGAACTCAAGAGTCAGAAGAAGGCACCTGGAACTTTCCCCGTGTACCACTAAGTCACCTCTCCAGCTTCAGTTTCCTCACGGGCAAAATAAGGTGAAGGCTGAAGACTGTAAAATTCTCACTGTAAAATTCTTCCTTGGGTCTATGAGATATTGCAGCATGTCCACACCTGGCACTATGTGTGGCACAGAAGTGGAGAGGGTGGGTGAGACCCCAGCTTCTGTCTTCTAAGGAGGGCTCCCCCAAACTGTATCCACCAGTTGACTCTGTCTGTACTGCAACTCAGAGCTGTGAAGAGGGCATGCCCTTTGGGGTCATGCAAACATGAGCTGGCATCGTGCCTTCATTTCACCCGCTGAGTGTGTGTCCAGGGGCAATTGAATAACCTCTCTGAGCCTCCATTTCCTCATCTATGAAACAAGGATAATTAATTTCAACCTTCAAGACGCTGTTGATAAAAATAGCTAGTGGGTGGCCAGAATTCAATCTGAGCTCTGTCCCAGCTCTGACGATGAGGATTAAACAAGATACAAATATCCAAGACCTGGCAGACAGACTCTATCCCTCAGACATCCTGGATGGACAGAAGAGGAACACAACGAAGTGTTTGCATTTCTGAGGTCACAGATCCCTTTGGGAATCTGCTGAAAGCTCCCTCCAGAAAAATGAGCATAAGGTAATGCCAAGACAGGAAGTTCACAGCCCTCTCAAGTCCATCTGGGGCGGTCTCCTGTAACGAACATCAAGTTAAAAAGCCCTGAGAAAGCGGGTTTGAAGGTGCTAGAAAAGGCTACAGAAACGCACAGTATAACCATTATGCCTCTTAAACAGGGAGGGATCCGCTTAGATGCTCACTTGAGCGAGTGGTTGAGGAGGCTGGTAGCGGAGGGGAGGGGGCGCCTGAGGAGGCGTGAGCTCACCTTGAAGAAGCCCTTGCAGCCCTCGCAGGTGCGCACGCCGTAGTGCTGGCAGGCGGCGTTGTCCCCGCACACAGCGCACGTGCCCTCGCCGGACGCCGAGCTCCTGTTGGGCGGCGACGGCAGGCTGGGGCTCTCGCCCAGCAGGCTGGACGCGGTGGGGGAAGCCGTAAGGCCGAGCGGCGGGAAAGCCAGCGGGGCTGCCCTCTTGGCCAACGGCAGCCCGTACGGGTGGCCCTCGAGCG